AGCGGTGCGTCTGCAGCAGTGCAGAGATCGTTTCCGCACCGAGTCTATTTTTGCTGCGCTGCATGCGCTGAATTAAAGTGACAGCGCATGGTTTGCGGTAAATATGAACATGGATTGACACAAAAATTTTGTAATTACACCATAAATGCATATAATTAAACTCTACTGTCAGGCTTTGGCTTTTTGGCTAGGTTTAAAGGAAAAGGGCACTTTTAGATAAACAAGGCGATAATAGATGGCACTCGTGGAGGTAGGAAAACAAAGTTCTTTATAAACCGCACGATTGCTTGTAATAAAGATTTAAATGCAAAAGAAAAGGCAGTAGAGCTGACTGTCTCTGTCAATGGTAAGTTTTAATTTAGAATGTTTGTGATAATGTAAGAAAAGTAGTTTAAATGTTTTGCCACTTGCTTGAGCAACTTAATATATAAATCTAGAAGTAAATGCAAAAGTAAAAAGCATTGAATAATGTGTTTCTAATATTTATTGCATTTAAACACGTCTATAAAAGATTGTATTACTATACTGTGTAAAAAAATAAATAATAATAATAATCTCAATGCTGAAAAGTAACATTTTAAGTAACAATGTTTGGATTCGAAATCAAAATAATGGATAAATGTTGTGTTTGTAGTAAACAGCCGCGGATCAGTTGCAGACTCCTGTGTGAATGCACTATGAGAGTCCGTGCTGCTTCTGCATTGCTTACGTACCACACATGGACTGCATATGCACTGCAAACGGAGTATGTGTGAACCTGGCGTAAAAGGCCGCCTCACATACAGCTCACAAAATCAGGCTTGTGCTGTGTGTAAGCTATTGTGCAACAATTGCACGATTGTAAAAACAAAAATGCAGTGCATGATCAAACATTTAGGTGAGAAATATATATTTTTGAAAAATGTCTAAAAAAATGCCCCCCCCACCACCCCTCAAATTAAAAAATCCCCCTCACAAGAGTCACCTAAGAGGGGAATTCCCCCCATTTTCAAAAATGAAATT